TCGAGTCCCGCATCAGGCTCCCTGCTCAGCAGGGGGTCTGCTTCTCCCTCTGACCCTCTTCCCTCTTGTGCTCTCTGTCTCTCATTCTCTCTCTCTCAGATAAATAAATAAAATCTTTAAAAAAATAAAAAATTAAAAAATTTAAAAAAAAAAGAAACAGAGAAAGAGATAAAGAGAGACAATGGCAGAGCAATGGAAAAACAAAGGAAATGAGGCAAATAGTAACAACTGGAGAATCTAGGTGGAGTATCCAAGTGTTCATTGCACTACTTCAACCTTTCAGTATGTAAGACATTTCCCAAAATAAAACAAGGAGAGAGGGAATAAAAGGTTTCAAAAAGGAAGAACAGCAATAGCAACAAAAGACAGAGTTTACATGTATTAGGAGGAGACAAAAAGGACTGGATTATTTCCAGTATATTATAGTCTCATGAAAAATAACTGGAAAGACTGTAATAATATGTACTTTTTAAAAAAGAGAAAAATCGGTGCGCCTGGGTGGCTCAGTTGGTTGAGTGTGGGACTCTTGATTTTGGCTCAGGTCATGATCTCACGTCCTGAGATCTAGCCCCCACACCCCATAGGCTCCATGCTCAGCAGGGAGTCCACTTGGGATTGATTCTCTCTCTCCCTCTCCCTCTGCCCCTCCCCCCACACATGCATGTGCACACTCTCTCTCTAAAATAAATAAATCTTTTTTAAAAAATAAATAAATAATAAGAAAATCTTTCACAATTTGTGGAAAACAGGAGACTAAGTCTGTTCAAATATAACTTTTTTAAATGACTAGGGGAAAACTACTAGAAGAACGCATATTAAAATACTGTTTTTTGCCTTAAGGTGGTAGTATTATGGATAATATTTCCTGTTTCCCAAATATCTTTATAATGTGTTTTGCTTAAAAAAATTTTAGTGTAATTTAAATATTAGCCAGATAACCACATAATATATTACTGTCGAACAATTTCAGGTATCTGTACCATTTGCTGGTTTCAATCTGAAAAATACCAACAACAGAAATCCTACTAATAATGTCTTGATTTCCCTTTATCCTATGAGGAATTATGGATCACACAAAGCATAACAAATGACTACTTCTCAAGTGCCTAAAACGGTAACAAAAATAGGAAATCTGCCCTTTACAAAACCCATTACAGTATAAATATACCTCATCATATATGCTCCCATTAATGTCTGCACCATAGATAGGTGCCACAAAAGTTAAGTTCTTCCAGTACTTGCGCTCCAAATCTTCATAATCCAAGTATCTTGGAGTACAGTATCTGCAAAAGGTAAATGAAAAGAGTACAAACCAATACGATGATATAAGATTTTCCCCACCTACATCACTTAAATCACTTTCCAAACAAAATTTTATCAAAATGAAAACAATGCAGCAACTCATGTTGTCAAATCTAACAAGCAAATATACAAATGTATTTACCATGGATCTCTGGATATTCTAAATATTCCTAAATAACTCTAAATAACTTCATATATTTTACTAATAAGGAAAATACTCTCATGAAAGTATCAAATATAGAAGGAGAAGAGTTAAAAACTCATTATTTTATCTTTCAAATTATTTTCTAAAATCTTTAACCAATTATTCTATACTAGTAAATTTTATAGACTTAACATGCAAAAGATAAGACATCTATAGAAAAATTGACAAAAAATAATTTCACTAAAAGTCAAGGAAAGCAAAACCAAAATAAGATACTTTGCAACCATTAGATTGGCAAATGCTTAATATATTAATGGTAGGAAAGAATGAGACCTCTCTCACACAGCTAGAATGAAAGTATAAAGTAGTACAAACTTTCCAGAGTATAATTTTTTACACATATCAAAACCTTTAAAAAATGTGTATCTTCAACCCTAAAATCCAACTCTGGAAATTCATTCTAACAATGCAGAGGCATATACAATGATACATGACCTGGGATGTTTGCTCCAGTATTAACTGAAAACTCAAACTAATGTCGTCCAACTACAAGGACTAAGTTAAATAAAATACAGAATACAAAATAAGGTAATCTTTCTATGTATTGATATTAATATTTTTCCACAATGAACTAAGTAGGTTATAGAATGGTGAATATACTATGATAGTATTTATGTAAAAAAAATCTATAACTGGGGGAAATCGGAGGGGTAGATGAACCATGAGAGACGATGGACTCTGAAAAACAAACTGAGGGTTCTAGAGGGAAGGGGGGTGGGAGGATGGGTTAGCCTGGTG